GCCTCAACTCCTGCTGCAGCCACCAACGACAAAAACGTCGACGCGGCAGATAGTCTGCTGGACCCATGGCTTGGACTTTTAAAAGGTGGTACGGGTGTACGATAACAAAAATGTAAACACAGCAGGCTTTTTTTACAAACCGGTGAGACCATGAAATGTGCTAGACAAACATTTTGCAGCTGGTGAATTTTTTGTTTCTCCTATGAGCTCTTAAGGTAAAATTAACTGTAGTGCTCAAACGGCATATTTACGAACAGGGGTTTATAAGGCAAAATTGCATATTTTTATGCCCTCTACAACCCCTATCATTTTGTCGCAATAATTATGGAACACCCTGTATATTCTTGTATAGAATTACTCAACAATACCAAAAAAACATATTATATATATTAGATGCACCAGTATCCAACTTCGGACCCTGAAGGTAAACAAAACCATGGGTTTAAAAAAACTAAAAATAGTAATGGAGAACTTGACCATTTGATGTTAGTTTACAGTGTCTTCAAGATGTTGCTTAGCAATATATACTTATTAATTTTGCTGGACATTTTGATTATACTGTACAAAGGTCATTTATAGAAGCAATGTTGATACTCACCCCCAGTGGTTGGCCTTCATAGTGTTCTTCAAATTATTCTTCCTGAACTGTGTAGTACCACAGCCCAACTGCATAACAGCAAACATCTGCAGAATAGTAGCTGTTTTTTGAATTAGCCCAATTGTAGTTTCACTCTTATAGGGTCTCTTCAATGAACTGTATGCGCACCCGCAAGTACACTTGGCATGCTTGGTATGTTTTGTATCAGCTTGTAAATAGCTTATGAATCTCTCTAAATCATCCACTTGTGTCTTAAGTTGACCAACAAGGTGCTCCTTAACACGCAGTGGACTCACAAGCTGGTCTAGGGCTACATTTATTTGCTTGCATACATCAGCTTGGGTCATCTAAAAAAATATTCTTCTAAGTAAAATATAACCTCTGTCAACCGATTCTGGTATTATTAAGTGGCTTCTAAATATTCAAAAATTCTTGAATGCTATTTAAAATTTCAAATCATGAATATAATAACACCATCTACACCACCAAATATAAACTATACTGAAGCTTGTCCTCTGTGCATCTGCAGTTTGAAGTTGGAATTAATTATTAATAATTTTTGGAACATATACGGAAGCGGGCAAAAGTTTGGAAACAGATATTAACATTATTATGAACTCTTTCATATACCTAAATTAAAATTGTGAAGGAACAGATAATATAAATATTAAAGTCTACCTTTGGGTCCCATACTAATACAAGGTTTATCTTATCAATATACAAATTCCATGAAAATAAAAACATATCGAAAAAATAGGAATGATTTATTTGATTATGTAAAAAATATTTGGCAAAATATCCCAACAGACATCTGTAAAAAATTGGTATCCTCTATGAGCAGCAGATGTCAGGTGGTGTTGAATGCTAAAGGCTATGCTACCAAATATTAACTAAACAGTATTTTTTTAATCTTTTTGTAGTTATTGTATTTAATTTTGTAATAGAAAATTTGTTTCCATTACTTTTGTCATCTCATGTTGGGTCATAAAATAATATGAAGGTATTTTAATGCTAGTCTGTAGTACCACAGCAAACACAAATTGTATCCTCAAGACTGTAAGCAAACTATATGAGAAAAGAAATAGTCCTTAATAATAAAGCATAAAAATTTAGCACATTTTTTAAAATTACTATGAATGATTTCAAGCTTTTGTCCACTACTGCAGATAAAAACCACAAATTTCTACCTTTTCATCCAAGTCAAGATTCATCCTAGTCTTAATTTCATTCAAAATAACTCTCTGCCTTTCAAGCAGAACATCTTGTGGCACATCAGCTTCACCATTTTCAAATGCATATTGCTCTAGTTCCCTAAGTTGTGTTTTAAGTCTTTCAATCAGTTCTTTTTGCTGAGCTCGTCTCATAAGTACTGCTTCAGTCAGACTAGCTTCATCCATATGTTCTCTTACTAGACCAACATCTGGTATACCGCGGAAAGCAAATTCCTCCAGAGATTTCAATAGTTCTTCTTTGTCTTCATTAGGAGCATTAACAACTTGTCTTAAGCGGAACTGGACTTGAGCAAAATGAGTTGTAAGAGCAAAAAGGGACGAATTTAGAAGTTCTTGCTCCTCCTCCATGCTTTTGATTTTGTCCAAGGCATATCTAAAATAAATTAATTCCCTTAGGAAAGTCGCTAATCATTTTTGTCAAATTTTAACTTAGTAGTGGGAAATACTCATTCCAAGAGAATGTGAAAAGATCTCTAATGTAAAAAAACTGTAAACTGTACAGCATGAAGAGACAAAAAAATTCTTCTATTAGACTGCTTGGAGTTATAAAAGGGCACTTCATCTAGAGCAATGACAGGGGGTATATTCAGTCCAAAACTCTGTATTGCTGAATAAAAAGTTGCAATTCTCGCTTGAATCCAGTAATTATTTGAGGAATTACAAGCAATATCAGCTAGCTTTCATAAACTTGTACTCACTGTGAGGTATGATCACAATCATATCCAAACTTTTCGGTGTCGTCATCGCTCTCCTCATCATTGGGGGCCCCGAGAGGGTCCCAACGCTTGCCCGTAGGCTGTTCTTCAGGCGAAACCTCTGGAGTAGTACCCCGTTCCATAATGCTTTCGGAAATGAACCGTATGTTTGAAAGAATTATCTGCCTACGCCTTTATCAACATAATGGTAACACGCTTCCTGTCTTTTAAATTCGAACAGCGATTTGGGAACACAGGTGATAACGTAAAATTCTTCATGATAACAAAGCTGCGAAAAATTTGCGAAGTCTGACTTTTATGTTTGATTTTTGACAGGTAGATTCACAAGACCCAGAAAGGTGAGAAAGGGCCCTTCGAGAAACGTCAATGTCAAATTCACAGCGCCCAGTTGATAGAAACATTATCACAAAAGCAGTGTCGCCGTATAGGGGCATCGGGGCATCGTTCGACTCAGTTGAAACTAATCCAGAAAAATAACACAGACCTACAATGGTTTTCCCCTTAAAGAACTAATTAGAGATTTAGGAGGGTATTAGCTATGAAACAAAAAAGAATTTTATCGCGTATATTTTATGAGCCATCGTTCCGTTACAGCCCTTATTTTATTTGTAGTTTATTGGAGAGCTGGTTTGGGACCTATGCATCTTTTATTGGATCAGTTTTGTTGGTGGATGCTTGAAGTTGAGTAAAACTACCAAATATACGAAAACTGTTCCTACAGTTCCACAGTCGCAGATGTTCGTGCCTGCTGCACAAGTATAGTTCGCGCTCTTGACGAGTATGGACGGTGAAATTGCTACTGCTGCTGCATGGCTACTTTGCGCGTTGGCAATTTATCATTACGCATATATAATTTAAAAAAAAGTGCAAAATACACAACCACTCCCGGCACTCGTTATGACGCTATGAGGCAACTGAGCCACCAGCGACCAGCGAATGAAGAGTCTAATCAGGTTCGCGCCTTGCGAACCCTTTGTCGCGGGACACAAAACCGACAACAAACGGGAACAACGCGCGAACACGACGTGAAACTGCGAAGAATACGCGAATGAGATCCACACTCGCGGGCCGCGGGTAGTTCGCGACTTCGCACGCCATCCGCACGTGAGTCTGGAGAGGGCTTCAGCGCTGGTACGTAATGCGTGGACACAGTCAGTTCTTTTTTGACATCCTCAATAGTTGACAAAGAAAATTAAACATTATGACAAATTACTAACAAAAGCCGGCTAATACACAATTTGTTCGAACGCGCTAAAACATATTTGTACGTGTTAAACAAATAAAGATACCTGAACATTCGTTTTAGCTAGATTGACATAGAAGTCCCACTGTTAAGTGGTTGGCATCCTAAATCGTCGTCATCTTCACTGTTACTACCTGATGACAGCTTTAGGTTAGATTCATCGCTATCAGGGCCTATTCTTATAATAAATTCCTGGACGTTATCCATTATATATTCGAGGAGAAAGAAGTAAATTTTGTATTCGGTGGTTTCGGTGATTTTCTTTAACAACACGCTTCGCAGTATTTAAGGATACACCTGTAGCTTCAGCTACTCTCTCAAATAAATAGCTAAAAGCTATGGTTAATTCTCCTGTTTCCTTTACTCGCTTCATATATTCAAACACATTGAATATAATTTGTCGTCCTTGGTTATGAACAACTTTCTTGTTATTTCGATCCCTATTTTTGAAAAATAATTGTTAATGCAATGTTTCATCTGCTAATTTGTAGTAACTTACATTTTGTCTGCCAGATCTACTGGTAGTCTTAAGACTGTGTTGTAGTTTTCAAGATAATACCCCTGGAAAAAAGATAAGAACGCCCTTGTTACGCTGATGTTAAGCCACGTACAGACCGAGATTCCAACGCAAGCCAAGGCACATGTGGTTACAGATTTGGATGTGCTCGAATCGGTGTGTACGGCGCGAGCCAACATAAGCTAACGGTTTCCAAGGTCTGCATTGACGTTCGATTGCGTTCGCTCCTTGATCGGTACATCAAAGTGAGGTTTGATTTGTTGTGCTTCTAGTATTCAGTAGTTTGTCTGCACTCGATGAGAGGAGACTCGTCGCTCGACATTGGCACCGAACCTAACCAAACGCGGTCCAACTCGAAACTAAATTTCCAATACCTTCCAACAACAAACGCCAACGTTACATATCGTCGCATTCGTATGCTCGGCGTTGAATTTCCGGTCTGTACGCGGCTTTACGTTCCTGTTCGAGATATGTCTGTCCACCACCACCATACTTTCGAAGATTTATCGTTTGAATTTTTGTTTGGTAATAATCGCAATCGTCAGAAACATAAACAAGTATGCTGCTAACCAAACTAGTAATCGTAAATAAAACATGACAAGGCCTATAATGTTGTTTGTAGCTAATTTGAGAACTGGTTCGGAGACCTATGTATCTTTTATTGGATCAGTTTTGTTGGTGGGTGCTTGAAGTTGAGTAAAACTATCAAAAATACAAATTAATATCCTTTATTCTCCTTGAGAATTTTTTTGTACATTTTTTAATGTTCGTCCTACAAACTAAATAAATAGTCATAATGTCATAGCAGTCGTCTTAATATGTGCAGCTCTGTGGCAGATCGATCGAAACAGTCTTTGTGGGCTTCTTGTGGCTGAAGTCAGGGCTAGCGCCTTTGTCGATCTGGCTCTTCCACAATTGAGCAACATTGCTCTTGGTGATACAGTGAACTGGCACCTCTTTGGTCATTGAGCCATGAGCCACACATCCACTGCTGCAGACGGGCATGGCGCGGGTTGTGAAACAGATCTGGCTGTCTTGCTCGATGTATCTGGTCTGGAAGCTGCTGCATTGACCTAGGGGATATGGCCTGGACTCACTATACATGCTACCTAAAATAAAAGATGAACGATAATATATGTACCTGAGGGATGTCGGTGCATCTACAGGCATATCTCAATCCATGACCATGTTAAGGTCCTTGTTTTTCTTGCAAAGTTAAATATGCCCTTGGGTCACATCCTACTGATACCCTGAGGATCCTGACTGTTGGACTCGAGACTAGTTTCTCTAAAGGTATCCCAAGGCACCGCAGTGACAAAGAATGTGGCATTACAGGTGTGTTGCAACTAAATGTGTTGTGGCTAAATAACAGTCTCACCAACAACCTCAGGTTGCTTGTACTAAGAGCTAGGTGGAGTTTCTTCATAATCACCTAAGTCTAGCGCCTGACGGAGTTGTCCAGAGAAGCTAATTCTGTCCTCGTTCTGCGCGGGCACTCTCAAGGCTGGATGAGAACCAACAAGCCCCTATTATAGATCGAGGCCTGACGGAGTTATCTTGCAGGCACTCAGTGCCATGGTTTGGCACTTAGACGATCACTTTGTCTAGAGGTTAGATTACAATGTCAAAAATAAGGTAGGAGTTACATACCTCTCTTCCTCCATGCGCTGAGGTCTGAGATGACATCACCATATCTGTAGGGTGTACGAAGTTCAACGCATTCGTGTGTGCTCTGAGAGAGGAGGTTCCTCATCTGTTCTCCTTCTTGTCCTTCAGCCTCGAAGCTCTTGACAAACTTCAGTGGATCTCTAGCAATGCAGTTGGGTGCCGTCATCAATTCTTCAGCTCTTTCATCATTGAACTGTCCGCACAAACCACGGACGGAATCTCTGAACATGTCGCTCAAGGGGTTGAGCCTTATGGTTTGACCATCATAGATGATGTAGTAGCGTCCTTTAACTTCAACCTTGACTTCACCGTTTGGCAGAGAGTAGATTTGGATGTGGTCTCCATGGATGTCAAAGCTCTGCTTGTCGCTGACTTGGATCTCTTGGCCATCGAAGTAAACCTTAGCCTTCACACCATCTTGGTCGCCTCCATAAGGTAACAGTTTGATCTCGGTGACCCTATACTCGGTTTCTGGAGAGCTGATTGTCATCAGAACCTCTTTGTTGTTCTTGTCTTGGCCAGCACGAACCAAGATAGCGTAGTTTTCAGGAGAGTACATTAAGGTTTCCTGGACAGGTTGCTGGCGATCGCCATGGCGAGCATCTTTGGGAACGTATTGGAACATTACGGTCCAACGGCTCTGGAGGTCCATGGGGTACGAGAAGTTGTTGAAGGTGAAGGTATTTCTGCGGTCTACAACGCAGGTTGCTGGAAATAAAGCAATGTGTCAGGCGATCAGATCTATAGTTCAAAAATGCGATATTTGGTCGTCAGATATTGAACATCGGTTACTTTTGCAGCCTGACCAATATCCCTAAGGAATTTGATCCAATTTACAGATAGGATCTATCTTATGATACTTACGCCTGTACAGGTCGAGACCCATAGCTTTGGACATCACGCGAGATTTGAGATGGAACACAGGGTGGAGCACCATGATTTCCTTAAGGTACTGTCCAATTCTGAAGTTCGTGAATGTGGTTTCTCTATCATGTTCCCTTACGGAAACGTTCAAGAATTTCAAGTCAGGGTCGAAACGGCCTTGGATGCTGATGCGGTTCTCTTGTCCAGAGACTCCCCCTGAAGATTGACCTCTTTGTGTTTCTACATTGAAGAAGTAGTTGACTCGAGCGGCTTCAAAAAAGGCGCGGAGGGTGTCAATAATGTCAGGCTTCAGGTTGTCGTAAGATAGTTTCACCTTGACACGGTCCAAGAGGTTGGCTTCCATTGTGATGTTGACGCAGGTCTGAGATTGCTTGTTACCTTCAAAAAAGAGGACAAACCAGAATATAGGAGCCGTATGTGCTAATTTCAATGTTTATCTAATTCATCACGAGTCTGTTATACAATGAAATGTTGGGGTACACTAATCTACGAAGGCCTATCAAAATATCAAGGGCTTAGACTAGGCCACTGGAGGTGCCACAAGATTATCGAAAGGTACAGAACAAAAACAGGAATACAGTAAAACGTTCACAAAAACTAATCTCAATGTTAAGTAAAATATGTTTCATACCTTTACCCATGTCGTTAATGCATTGCAGGTAGTTGGGCAGATGTTTCAAGTACTGTTTCCTTTCCTCGCTCCTACGGAACTCGAAGAAGCCATCGATTTTTGACATGGCTTGGTGAGGTGAACCAAATCGGAGGGTCATATGGCTGTCTACTTTGGGTTCTGCTTTCATGGTGTACAGCAGGTCCAGCGCATTGGTGTTGGGAATATCGTTCCTGCCTTCCAATGTGAGCTCGTACGGTTTGAATTCAGCACTGTCTGCACTCTTGTGATAGTGGAGGAATAGTCTGGAGATGGGGTCAACGTTGCTCTTACCCAAACCTCCGATGAGCAAGTATTTCCTAGTGATGTCACCTTGGAATTCCACGGACATTTCCATAACCATAGCCTTCACACTCTTGATTCCTTGAGATACTCTATCCATGACCTTCTGTTGACGTTCCAGGGGAGATCCAGATCCAAGCATCACCTGCGTGGTAAGGTCAGCGTTTGCGGAGTTTTCAGAAACAGGCCCTTCCTTGTGGTAGCGATGTTGATGTCCAATATGTACGACGTACTTGCTGACAGTTGATTCTTCAGGCAAGTAGCTGACATCGATACGGCTGTACTGGATGGCACCGTTGCTCCATACATCGGATAATAAGTTGGACAAGCTTCCTGATAGTTGTATTCCACGGTAGATTGTGTACAGTTGGTTCCAGTTTACTTCTCTCTTGAACATACCTGAAAAAATTGTACTTAATATTGCTTAATAATATGTGCCGAATAGCGTGAGTTCGGTGGCGACGAAGCCTTGAGGAATCCCTGCACAGTATGTACAAAGTAGAACCTAATTCTTGTGGTCAGCAATATCTTACCTTCTTTCATCAAGTCGAACAGGTGGTGAGAGGTGATGAATTCCCTTTCATGTTCTACTTTGAGATGGAAGGCCAAACCAGTCTGCCTCTTTCCAAAGGTCTGTTCCCAGTTTTTGATGCTGTGGCGCTTGATAATGTGAGTAGATGGTTGATGCGCCAAAGGCTTGAAAGACATGATGTCCACATACGAAGTGTAAGGCCAAGTGCTGTAGTGGAATAAGTAAGCTCCTTGGTGGACTTCTTTAGGGATGATCTCAGCCTTGACTTGCATATTCTTCACGTCATATTGCAACTTTCCGTGGAGAGGTACGTGAATGTGCATGTGTTTGTCAAATCCAGCGAAATACTGTTGGTGATCGAAAGGAGTGTAGAAAGATAGTCTTCCTTGTGTCTTTGAGCCGTATGTGAAGGCCATTTCTGAGATTAGAGACAATGTGTCGGGTGTGTAGAGTTTGCCGTCCTTGGACAGTTGGGGTTGAGATTCGAATTTAAGGTCACCTTCTAGTTTGATGACAATTGGGGTGTCATAGGTATATAAGAATGGGAAACCCATTTCAGTAGGGAAGGACAGAGCCAGATCCCTGCTGTTCACGAATTTGACGTAGTCAATTTTCTTTCCTGCTTTCAGTTCTTCTTCCCATTCCTTGACAACTGTAATAAAAAGTAAATGTGATGTATGATTTAAATAAATTTGAAGGGTTTGGTCAAAATTCCAGGACATTGTGCTATCAAGAATGGCTGCTTACCTTGTGGGATGTTTTCGATAGTCATGTTGTCGAATGGCAGAGTTTGGTACAACTGTTCAAATTGCAGAAGCAGGTTGCCTTCTAGTTGTTCGCGTTCTTCATTGCTTATCTTCATCAGACGGGCAATGCGGATGCTTGACCATGGGTTCTTCATTTGTTCTTCAGATGCCTGCTTCTGTCTCTCCTGTTGCTTTTGGTAACTACAAAAATATTGTTGCATTAAGTTGAGAGAGATATACTCCACCAACAAGAAAGACCTACCTGTCAGTTTGCATCATTCCAACGTGGAAGAGTTCTTGGAGGTTGGAGACCATCTTCTGTACAGAGAACACCTTGCGGTAGAGACCGTTCAGGTTTGCGTTTAAGGAGTACTTGTATCCATGAGCTTGGAAAGACTCCTCTGCTCCAAAGGTGGAGTATTCTTCAGAATACATCACGTTCAAATGGTGGTAGAAATAGTGACGCAGGAAGGCACCTCCATGTTGTTGACCATATTCAGCAGTGGTTAAGAGTGGCACAGCTGCTTGAGCAGCACGGCGACTAAAGAAAAACATACAAGGTGTTCAAATTCGTCCCTCACAGGCTTGGCTGAACGGTAGGTGGATTTTAAAAGAAAACGATATTGTGCCTGTTCTGGTACTTACATTTCGAAGTGGTGAGGAGCAGATCCTTCTAGTTGGGCAGCTTCTAGGATGATGGCCTTGACAGCAGCATTGACATGTTCATGTTTATCGACGTTGGTGTATGATGCCATCAACTGGAGCATATCAACTGGAGGACGAGTGTACATCAGTCTGTAGACAGCTGCAACTCTGATTTCTTGGGTCTCGCCGATGTTCTGGTAGATCTTGAAGAGAACGGACCTTGTTTCTGTAGGGTACAGTTCAGCAACCTAAAACAATGAGAATGCTTCAGTAGTTTGTGGTGGCAGATGATCCAGCCTATCAGAATTGCCTAACTGTGGTGATCTCAAAATATCTTAGTATCTTTTTAACAAATACTAGAACATAAAGCTTACTTTGTCCATGGACATGATCATCAGCAGACGCTGGAACTGTGACACCTGTTTCTTGCCTTCCAAGTAGGGCTCGTAGGCTCTGAAGATCAGAGGATGGCCAATGTTTCCAATAGATCTGATGTAGGTATGGATCTGGTAGGTGTCAGCATTAGAGATGGCCTCCTGGAGCTTTTGGCTCAAGTGTGGAATCACCTCTTCAGCGACGAAGGTCTTTCCTTTCTCGGTACGGAAGTGACCGAAGCTTCTTACGGGGAATTCCTTTTCAGAGTTGCGCTTGTTGATGTATACCCTACCAAAAATAGTTATTTTATACATATTCGGTGACAACCTTCTGTGATGTCAACTTACCTGCGAACGAGGTCGGTGTAGCTCAGTAAAGCAGTGTCATTCAAAGGCCATTGTCCCAGAATTTCAGGTTTCTTGATGAATTCGAAAGAGCTGCGCATGTAGTCTTCTGTGGGTTGACGTACGGATTGCAACATGGCATAGATGATTTGACTGCCTTCGGTAGATCCGACCTTCTTGGTCAAAATCCAATTCTGGATGGTCAACAAAGCAGGTCCGGTACCACTTTCGGCAACAGCATCTCTGAACGCCTGCCAGGCATAGCTCCTTTCATCCCCTACTGATTGGGTAAACAACCTAAAAACAGAAATACACCAATAAGACAAGCACAACTGTAGTTAAGCTTACATAAGCCTGCACGAATGGCTTCCTGGCGAAACTTCGTCATCTATCATGTATGCTGCTTATGAGCATTGAAGCAAATCATAATCTTGGATGTTTCGCCAGGAATTAAATATTATTTACCTTGTGGCAGCCTGTGTCAATTCCTCTTCTGACATGACCCTGATGAGAGAGGTCAAGATGGTAAATTTGTTCAAAGTGTTCTCATTGGCAACTTTAGGTGGGTTCTGCAAGTCACTGCCAATTTCCATTGCGATCTTCTGAACGGTTTTCACAACATCGACTCCTTTCTTGACGGAAAGTCCTTTAAAGGCCATCGTGTAAGGCAACATTGGGCTTTCAGGGGCCTGGTTCAATTCGGGTTTCCTGTTTAGGTAGTTCTCTTCGGATTGGCTGAAGTCGCCTTCTTCCATCAAAGAACCTCCGAGCTGTTCGATCGAGCGGCGAAGACGCTTTCTCATTTCCTTGTCCTTGGTCACACGCTGTTGAAACACAGAATCATTAGCAAAAAAAATGACGTACACGAGAGTCACACTTTGGATGTTTTGGTATGTGCAAATATACCTACCTTATCCTTGCCCATGTTAGAAGCCCTCAGGCGTCTTTCGAGGTCGATGTCAAATTGCTGGCGGTGCTGGTAGGGAGATTTCTGATGCACTAGGCTGCTTTTAGAGTAAGGACTTTCGTAGGAGTATACAAGGTTGCCCACATGGACAGGGTTTTGTACGTCCTGAATACTGTCCTTTGGTGCTCCGAAGGATTCCAGTGTGACATTCATTGTGCTCACTACCATACCTATGGAACAAACTAAAGATTCAGATACATTTCATCAAATCCGCAGGTTGCATGGAAGAGTTTTTATCTGGCAAGACGGACGCAGTAGTACATGAAAAATTTAGCCAAGAAAAATATCTAGAATAGCGGAATGAAGGGTTATCGATGGGTTCTAATAGGACATTGTCATATGAACTGGCGTATGAGGCTCTTAAATTCGTATACGGTTCTGCGTGCTGATTCTGCAAAGTGCACGAAGGAATTTCAGTGCATCTCTCAAGTCACTTCGAAGATTTTATGATTTTAAATTGTTATGCTATATGTTAAGAGTCTGAATGAAGGATCATAGTTCTTTACAGAGTATAAATAGGGAACTGCAATAGATCCATATGTGTCACAGAAGCCTCAGAATGGAGAAATGTGGTTTCAATAGTCATATGTATTGTTGTAAAGATGTAAAGGTACCTTTCTGCTGGTCAGATAACGTAGGGTTGGCAACGATCTTGTTGACAGTGAAGCTGTTCTGAACGGTGTTCTTGTCCATATTGCCGCTGAGAATAGCGCGGGTAAACGAGCTCCTTACGAAGAAGGCCCCCATTCTGTTGCTGGCTGGGATTTCGTACTCCAGATCCCCGAAACCAAAGGCGTAGGATGGGAGTTCTACGTAGTTGCTGTAGTTCTTGTGCTTGACAACTTCCAGTACACCACCTTGACGATCCTTCAGGTAGTCGAACTCTTCATCTTGGAGCAGGTACTCAGGCAGCTCGTTGATTTCGTACATGGTCTCGGTGTTACCTGGAATGAGAGCCGCCGTAAGTAGAAGGAATAGGAATAAGACAAATTAATACTTTTACGCATTAGAGGAAAAGAGAGAGGAACTTTTTTGAGTTGCAAGGGAGTGCCAATAGTTGATTAGGTTTCATTTGTCGCCCATTGGGCATAGTAATTGGTTCCGCTCCCATAAGGAAGATAACAGCTCCTCTCTTGGCATCGCCAGTCCCTCATTACGATATATGGCACCTTATGCGTTTGGTACACCTGCCAAGCTATTAAGGTTTTTGGCAATGTAATTTGGAACAGTCTGGACGAATACATACCTGTGACCGTTTCTTCCATGGTTTTGAATACAGAAGGTAAGCCGCCTTCACTGCCATCCAGTTCGCTGTCAATCCTCCTCGATCCTTTCAGATCGAGTTGGAACTGACTCATGATACCCTTGATCATGTTAGACTCCCAGTTGGATACCTCCTTGTCGATGACGAGGTCAGTAATGACTCCGTTTGAAAGGATGATCTCGAAAGGCTTCAGGGAGAATTCGATCGGTTTCCAGGACACCTCTCCATCAGGAATGAAGGTACGCCATCCCTCGAACAACCTGCGTTTGAATTAAGCATAAAGGAATTTTAAAAACACTGGTTAAGGAGCTATTCTTTCAAATGCAAGTAGGATACAAAAACAGTTCTTATAAAGAACGCTACTAGAAATCAGGTTTTCTCTAGTAACTTCTGAAAAAAAATTGAATTTTGACAGCATGCCATATGAAACATCGCATAATAATGTTCATGGGAAAAATTGAACTAGGGACAGCTAACTCAATATTGCTAATTATTGCACCCGGTACATAATGACTCAAAAATAAACTTTTTGTGGAGCCTAACTCTAGCTGATATTTGTTCGATTTTGTTAAAGTTGTTACATCCAAGCTGATACTCAAAGAGTTCAACAAAAGCCCAAAACATTACTAGTGACCTCGAAATTAATTTCCTATGCTTACGAATTGATGATCAGAGTTTCCATATTTTCAAAATGATGCAGATTAAAGACAGTAAAAAACTTTACCTGGTGTGAACCTGGCTGAATTTGGGACTTTCGATCAGGCCCATCCATTTGTTGTCGGATTTAGGTTGGATGCGTAGTTTAGCCTTGTAGAGTATTCCAGAGTATGAGTCAGAAACTTCATGTAGAGATGCGAAAGTTCGTCCGCGTACGATGTACTTGTACTCAACATTATCGGATCCGGGTAACGTCGCCAAAGCAAGCCCCGCTATAATAAGAAGTAGGATCAGGTTCGGTATCAAGCAAAAAAAAAACAGTAGTATTTCTAAGGCCCAGAAATAGTATTAGTCTAATCATATTAGCAAATTTCCCCAAAATAATTGTAAAGTCTGAATCCCAAAAAACACGTTTTGTCATTCTTTGATGTCGAATAAAAAGCTTTCCCACAAAAATTGGTGTACCCATTTTATGAGTCCATGTTTTGAATACCCCCTGGAACAACTTTCAGCAGTAAAACCAGACTTTACAATTATTTCGCAAACCAGGGGTGTTTTCGACTATATGAAAAGTTTATATGAACGTGGAGCGATCTGAAAAAATGCTAACAAGCAGGTTGGTTCGGTAATTCGTGCTACACATACAAGTACAACATCCTATTTGCAAATTTGAAACTTTTGATTACACATTATGTCCTTCTAGTATAAATACTAACATATTTGTACATACAGTGCTTTTCAGAAATGCCCACATACTTGTTCTTAGAACACAAAATTTGGGATTATGAAATTGACGCATCAATACTATATTTTAATGTAAAATAACAGTTTAAAGTTAACGTCCTGGGTGCCACCTTGTATTATTGTCTTATATCTTATTTTGAAGATCCTTATGAGTACTTTGTGGCCCCGGAATATAATAACGATCTTTTAAACTGGCTGACTGGAACGCTCTCAAAGCTGAGCGTTTGTGAATTGCTAATACCTCAACAATCAGTCATCAAACTGTTATATATGTTATATCAATCTTCTTCTTTTGGAAGGAACTACCTACGAGCCCCTTCCCACTTCAGTTGGCCCAACTATTAAAATCTTAGTTTTCTTCTTATCAAACACAAATAATAAATAGGTATAAAATATTAACGAATATTTTTATAATATATAGTGGTAAACACCAACTTTATCACTCCATACTCAAATTTGCAGCATAAAAATAACACATGTTGCAATTACAGCATATCAACCTATTTTCATTTCAATGCAAAATAAGTCTATAACGGATAGGTGGCTGTGAAAAATAAAAGCCATGACAATTGTTTTTATTAATCACAGCTGTCAGAATACGTTTAAAATAGTTTTGGGTAGTTAAGGTTTTCAAAATGGGGAGAGGAAAGGTTATTAGTGAGAACATTCGGTTACTAATAATTAAATTTTTTAATTCTGGCAAATCAAACTCAACAATTGCAACTTTGTTAGACTTATCGCGGTACAGTGTGAGAAATATTGTTAGAAGATATAACGTAACTAGTTCAGTTAATATTAAGCCACGATATGTGAAAAAAAGTAATATCACAAATGCCGACCGAAGAGCATTAAGAAGAATAATCATGAAAAACAGGCATGGCAATTATTTACAATTAAGTGCTCTGTGGAGTGATGCTGTTGGAAGGAGAATTTCGAGGTCCACAACTCATAGAGAGGCCCACAAACTGGGATTTAGCACTTGCAAGGTAAGTTTTCTCATAAAAAAAAGTGAAGTAAAACCCTAAAGTTGCACAACTTGTTTATAGGCCAAAGAAAAGCCACTATTAACTCCACTGCAAAAGAAAAATCGGCTTAGATGGGCTAAAGAACATAGACAATGGACACCTCAACAATGGTGTGCAATAAAATGGAGTGATGAGGCCCGATTCGAAGTTTGTGTTGGTGACAGTGGCAGTAGAGTTATTCGCAAAAAATGAAGCATTCCATGTTGACTGTCTGAAGAGAAAAGTGAAATTTCTAGCATCCATTATGGTCTGGGGCAGTATGTCATCAAAAGGAGTAGGAAAACTTCATTTTATTGATGGGAATGTGGATACAAACAAATATTTGGTAATTTTAGAAGAATCGCTTTTACCAGTGATAGAAGAATGTTTGACATACGGCCAAGATTTTGTGTTTCAGCAAGATCGTGCAGCGTGCCATACCTCCAAAAAGGCTATAAAATGGATGAAAGAAAATAATGTACCAATTTTGAAATGGGTTTCTAGCAGTCCAGATCTGTCACCTATTGAAACTTTGTGGCACGAGATGAAAAACGTTCTACTACAACATCCTGCTCGTACAATCACCGAACTGAGACAAAAGCTTCAAGAAATATGGGATTGTTTTACAGCAAATTTTTGCCAAAACTTGGTTAACACTATGCCCCAAAGAATTTCAGCCGTAATAAAAAATAAAGGTGATGTTACCCAATGGTAATCTTTCAATTGTTGCTTTGTTAACTTCGCGCATTTATTCGCACATTGTTTATTTGTTCAGATGTTCTATTAGTTATAGGTCTAAGTGATTTCAAATATGTATTTCTTACGACTAGAGTGCATCTAAAATGTTTTGGAGAAAATAAATTATTTTAGAAGTAAATAGTTTCGTCATGTTTAGTTTATAAAGCCATATTTTGGTACAAATCTTGAAGTGGGCCAACTGAAGTGGGAAGGGGCTCGTATATGTGGAATAAATATGAGACATTCAGAGTATACAATTTTTTTAAAATGGAATGATTCAGATTTTATTACATATTCGGAGAGATCTTTCCAAGACAAGAAAATTGATATGACATACTATAGCGTTTTGTTGTATGTACAAAAACGTTCAACTTTGATAACCTACCAGCTCTCCATTTCCAAAAATGGCGATTTGATATTCCCCCATTCGACTTAAGAAATAGCACCCAGTCACCAGCTTGAAATTTTCAATTTCATTGCCCCGAATTTCAGCTTGCTTTTGACTTGACCCGAAAAAAAAGTAAATAGCAATGGTTTTTTTGAAAGTCACTGTATATAGTATGATATAGACTGGCTCGATAAACGGTAGTATTCTTAACGCAGAATATGTGTTCAGAAACAGCACGAAAAGTACATTTGAACATGAATGAATTTGGAAAAATATAGCTTTATCATAAAAGCCCACAGGAATGAGTGACAATTATTTTCAAAAAAAGCATATGCTTCAATGAATGTTCCATTGGTGTTGATTTCGGTTTTTTACAGGAAATGATTTAAACGTCGTTCGTTTATTTCTGAAGCAGAGTACTGATAGTGATCTTTTCGTGATAGAAACGAATAGGAAAGCAGCACATATTAAGCTCGTTGTTGTGTATTAAAACTTGTCAGTTTCTTTTTTTGAAAATGTTGAACAATTCTAACGTAACTTTAAGTACCGGAAATAGACTAGTTCTAAAGATTTTGAGCTTAAAACGCTCTTGAAACAATAGAGTATGCTGTGGCCAAGATTATGCATCAACCAGACAGTTTACAAACGTTTAAAAATTGAATGCATTTATCAATCGTTTGAAAAATGAATAACTCTAAGTAAGCATACTGAAAAAATTAAATCAAAAGTGAATCAACCAAAAGCACCCTGCATATTTCAAAATTATTTTGCCCAAACTTTTTCGAATTATAGTTTTGGTTTGTCATGGTTCCAAATGAAATAATGAAATGGAAAAGAGAGTAACATAGAAAAAAACACTTACCGAAGAGGCAACATATCAAGCCCGACCACATCTTGGATGCGATCTGATGTTTCAACGCTAGTGATTTGAAATTTGTGAAATATCCTATTTATACGAAACCCATTTGTGATAATTTTGTGCAAGCTTGCAGCCACTAGTAATGAATCTAAGCTTAACGCTGTGATAAGATACAAAGAAATTATGAATGGTCAGCTGGTCTACGTCACAAATTTCATTCATGAACTTGAATGAAAGAATTTCTGCGCGTGTGATATAGTGATGAACTTGGAAAGAGTGATATTTTTATCCCACGTGGATATTTTATTTCCAGGAAAAACATGTCAAATTTTGGTTTTTGAAGTTACATGTGAAGTTTTTGAACAGAGATTTGAAGACTTAAAATTAAATTTGACCCTAGAAACAACAAAAACATGACAAAAGGCTAATTCAGAACTCTTTAATGACAGACAAACTGTTCTCAGTCCTGCATAGCTGAAAATGTTGGTACCACGAGAGTGTTTCAAGTATGGCCAAAGGCAAAGTAAGACAACTTGAGAACATTCATAATAATTCATAATAATCCCTGGAATATTGCAAATTGCATGAAATTCAATTCATATTGTGCTGAAAATACTTGAAAGTGCTAACAAGCTCCCAATGACAGATACACTAACAGTGATCATCAATTACCGTGAAGTGGTCTTTTGGAATCCTTCTCTCATAAAAATTGTTTAAAGGACCTTCACTTGAGGTTCTATTATTTCGCTTAGGCAAGAAAGTTTTTGTTTGTATTGGCTATGCTGTTAACACTGCATACACGAAATTGTAAATCGTCATATTAATCCACTTAGAAGATATAATTTTTTTTCGATTTCGAAATTACAGCTTTAAGGCGCTGGTAGCTCGGAAAGGGTGTACTTGGAGCTCATGCTTATATGAGCATACTTTGTAGAGGTTTGGAACACTTCTCACTTGGAAAATGAGTTTTACTCAGCTTCCTTCCTGTAGTCCAAAGCCAACTGAAAATCTATAATGGACATTTACTGTGAAAATGAGATTGATGTATTTTTGTGGCCGGCATCTAAGTTAGAAACTCTCGTAAGCAGTATTTTTCCTGATACTCAACGTCGCATGTCACTGTTTTTTCAACTGCTTGTTTGGGATGATATTCTGAATCCTTTTCATCCGATTATTTCATTCAATGTGTAGGGATAGATGACTAGAAAACAAAGTTATATATTTTTGTCAGAAAAATGCATTTTGTGTGTATTTTATTGTCCATTTTTCAATCACAACTTGTTAACAAATATTACGAGAAGTACAGCTCTGAAATTGTATATCAAAATTCTACTATAAAAGTGGATGATTACTTTTATTCTTCGAAAAATCTTTGATTTTCTTGAAACCTCATTTTGCAGCAAATTAAGTTTTTAAGAATAGCAAAGAATGTTTGAACTCTTACATAAAAGTGGAATATTCATATATCATAATAATAGTCACTATTATTTGTTAACAAGCTGCGATTGAATAAAAATGCATAAAAATGGACAAACACAAAAATGAATCTGATAACATTCTTTTTCAGTCATTTAATGACTTTTTTTCCAAGGCAGATCTACTTTATCTAATCTAGCGTGTTTTAAACAGTTTTGCTATGAAGTGGTTGATGAAGGGGGGCAAGTAGATGTTGCTTACGTTGACTGTTCAAAGGCTTTTGATAAGCTAGATCACGGTATTGTGTTAACGAAATTAGCTACGCGAGGGTTGACCCATCAATTCTTGACATTGTTTTAAATCTTATCTTACAAACAGATGCTTGAAAGTCGAATACAGGGGCTTCACCTCCACTCAGATTATACCTTCTTCCGGCGTACCTCAAGGCTCTGCTCTTGGCCCTTTGCTTTTCAAAATTTTCATTGATGACGTCGTTGGGGAGCTACTCAGCAGCAGTCTTCTACGAGCCCCTTCCCACTTCAGTTGGCCTACTTCAAGATTTGTACCAAAATATGCCTTTATAAACTAAACATGACGAAACTATTTACTTCTAAAACAATTTATTTTCTCAAAAACATTTTAGATACACTCTGGTCGTAAAAATACATATTTGAAATCACTTAGACCTATAACTAATAGAACATCTGAACAAATAAGCAATGTGCGAATAAATGCGTGAAGTTAGCAAAGCAACAATTGAAAGATTACCATTGGGTAACATCACCTTTATTTTTTATTACGGCTAAAATTCTTTGGCGCATAGTGTTAACCAAGTTTTGGCAAAAATTTGGTGTAAAACAATCCCATATTTCTTGACGCTTTTGTCTCAGTTCGGTGATTGTACGAGCAGGATGTTGTCGTAGAACCTTTTTCATCTCGTGCCACAAAGTTTCAATAGGTGACAGATCTGGACTGCTAGAAACCCATTTCAAAAGTGGTACATTATTTTCTTCCATCCATTTTATAGCCTTTTTTGAGGTATGGCACGCTGCACCATCTTGCTGAAACACAAAATCTTGGCCGGATGTCAAACATTCTTCCATCACTGGTAAAAGCGATTCTTCTAAAATTGCCAAATATTTGTTTGTATCCACATTTCCATCAATAAAATGAAGTTTTCCTACTCCTTTTGATGACATGCTGCCTCAGACCATAAGGGATGCTGGAAATTTCACTTTTCTCTTCAGACAGTCAACAGGGAATGCTTCATTTTTTTGGGGAATAACTCTACTGCGACTGTCACCAACATAAACTTCGAATCGGGCCTCATCACTCCATTTTATTGCACACCATTGTTGAGGTGTCCATTGTCTATGTTCTTTAGCCCATCTAAGCCGATTTTTCTTTTGCAGTGGAGTTAATAGTGGCTTTTCTTTGGCCTATAAACAAGTTGTGCAACTTTAGGGTTTTACTTCACTTTTTTTTATGAGAAAACTTACCTTGCAAGTGCTAAATCCCAGTTTGTGGGCCTCTCTATGAGTTGCAGACCCCAAAATTCTCCTTCCAACAGCGTCACTCCACAGAGCACTTAATTGTAAATAATTGGCACGCCTGTTTTTCACAATTATTCTTCTTAATGCTCTTCGGTCGGCATTTGTGATATTACTTTTTTTCACATATCTTGGCTTAATATTGACTGAACCAGTTACGTTATATCTTCTAACAATATTTCTCACACTGTACCGCGATAAGTCTAACAAAGTTGCAATTTCTGAGTTTGATTTCCCAGAATTAAAAAATTTAATTATCAGTAACCGAATTTTCTCACTAATAACCTTTCCTCTACTCATTTTGAAAACCTTAACTACCCAAAAACAATTTTAAACGTATTCTTACAGCTGTGATTAATGAAACAATTGTCATGGCTTTTATTTTACACAGCCACCTATGCGTTATAGACTTATTTTGCATTGAAATGAAAATAGGTTAATATGCTGTAATTGCAACATGTGTTATTTTTATGCTGCAAATCTGATTATTGAGTAATAAAGTTGGTGTTTTCTACTATATATTATCAAAATATTCATTGTTAATATTTTAAAACTATAGCACCCTGCTACATTTTTATTATTTGTGTTTGATAATAAAAAAACTATGATTTCAATAGTTAGGCTAACTGAAGTGGGAAGGGGCTCGTATATGCAGATGACTCGAAATTTTTTTGTAAAATTGAATCCCTGGACGACTGTAATATATTGCAAAAGGACTTGAGCATTCTAAATAAGTGGTGTCACCGTAACAAGCTGTACCTTAATGCTGATAAATGCTATACTATGTCTATTACGCGCAAACTTGTTCCAATCAGATTCATATACAGGGTGTAAACGTTATGGTAGTCATTATTCAAATGGTTAATAGGGGGAGTCAAGACAAGTTCATATGACCCATGGTCCAAAAGTCAATAGATCTTTAATTTAAAGCTTCACTGTTGAATGGGGTTTTTCCTGTTAACTTAGAGCAATCAAGTCCTTCAATCCGAATACCGTCTAAATATATTACATAAGAAGGTGAGAATGCACTACCTTGGAAAAGTATCTGCCCCCGTTGTGCTTTGCCGGGTGCGCGAACCAACAAAGGGTAAGCGTAAAACTGCACGCATGCGCAGATCGCGCGCTAGCTCTATCTCCCTTACTCCCCTACAGAGGATCAATCCTGGCGGTCCTAATATGGATAATGGAAAACTGTTATCAAATTATTGCATTGTCATAGGTCCATGATACGTGTGCGAAGTTTCGGATTAATCAAACTTCTAATATAAGCGTGTTAAAAATGTATATGCGACGTTAAGCATCTTTTTTGGGCCCAACAAGATTTGCGGTTACATCATTCGCGACCATTAGCAAAAATGTGTCAAAAACTTGGCTTCATCAACGATCGTTGAAATCTTGAATCTTATAGAGCTTCATTTCCAAAATCCATAATTTTCCAGACTTGCGACGATAAGGCTGATACATAGGTGTCTAATTTATTTTGAAATCTAAAAATGATAACAGTATCATTCGTGATACAGTTAGGCATCCTATAGCAACAAAATGTTGAATAGTTAATTGCTTATTCTGTTGAATAAAAACGTAGTGATAATGTTTGATAATTAGCAACATAGTTGTTCGGATATTGATAAGCTTAGTTTGACTTCCAGAGGCGTCCGCTCTTTTAGAAAATGATTGTGTTCAAAGAAACTACCTGACAATACCAAATTATTTGCATATTAGAATGATGCTCATATCTAACAATCCCATCTTTAAAAATTAATAACATATTTCGGGTAAAAAAGACCGATAGAGAGAATCTATCGAGCTTTTTCTTCTGCTCTCGCTATTGTCTTTCCATTGCGGTAAAATAACAGCTGATTATCAAGCAGTATTTCAGAATTCCATAAATAACATATATACGCAAATGACGCATAATTCTGACGGATCCGTCAACGCCAGGTCGGCAGAGCCGTATTTTATTTGTTTTTTTTTTGTACGCTACAGGGGTTCCGTAACGGTCAGAGCAGCCATAGAAAATTCACTTCCAGTGGACACTGATCTTGCTATTAAAATTAGATTTGGGAATAGTGATTATTTTCATTAAAATGCAAAATAAGGTTCATCGGTTGTACAAATAGATACCAGTGAAGGCTTTTAGCAAAAATATAATTTGCTACGAAGTATCAAGTAGTTTGAAAATG